CATAAACACATTTCATTACACCAAATACACAAAATAATGTTCTTTTTAGCAACATCGTATGACCCCTTTAAGTGTTAATTAAAAAAAAAAAATTACAATAATGTAAGCCATGAACCTGCATGCGCATGCATATACATAACCATAACTCTTTTTAGTATCTGCACTTACACTTAACATTAAAGTGACTTATATTTTAGATTTGAAACATTTTTTTATATGAAACCTTAGTCTTAAAGAATAAGACTCATTAATTATACTAATTATTAAATATAATTGTGATAAATGGGGCGGGGCCGAGAGCCGTGGGAGCGGAGCGAGACCGGTGAGTGGTGCAGGTGTCGCCCATTATCATTAACTCCCCCGGCCTCGCTTCATTCACACGGCTCTCGGCCCCGCCCCACTCGTCACACTGTCCTATCACAATAAAGGTCAAAAGTCAAAAAAAGAAAGAAAAAAAACACGCACACACACACACACACACACACACACACACACACACACACACACACACACACACACACACTGTGATTAAACAATCCAATTATGCATGAGGATTCAAATTGGCCATGTATCCGTTTGAAACTTGAGGGGACAAGAACATGGCGATAGGTCAAAACTGACACAATAAATCTCATCAGTCTCAAAAAGTTCTAGAGGGCAACACATATGCTTCATATCTGCTCTCATTAATAAAAGGGTGCAAATGGTATGAATTATGCAACACTGTATTTGCGATTAGATTCATTATTCCAAATTCACATATATTACACATAGAGGTATCTTATGTCAATGTTTTTTCTGATATGTTGCTAGTATAAAATATTTGAAAAATATATGAGATCCTGTATTATTTGTGCAAAGCAGCATTATTCTGGACACATGATCAGTCATGTTGCTTAGGAATGGGTCAACACTTTAAATAACCACAAATTACAATAATTACACCACAACAAAGACAACAAGCCCAATCTCTGGCCCCCTGGACAGACACCGGTCCCCTGAAAGGGCCACAATGGCTTTGAGTGTAGGATCTCTAATTTAATCCTGTCCTTTAGTTATGCCTACAACTTTGTTTTTAAAAAACTTGACCCGTATGTCGACAATCGCTTGTCAGTTCAGTTGTTGCTGAGGATTTGCACACAAAGGCCAGGATGTTTCTAGAGCCTCTGTTACTGCCATTGTGCGGTCAGTGCATTACACTGGCTGGCAGTTACAGAATGGGCAGCTAAGCATTGCCTTGTGCTCATGTGTCTATAGTCGTGCCGCTTGATCCCATTTGATCCAATTAAGATTTACAACGCTGGCTAAGGCAGAGAGTCTTACCTGTGCAGGAGAGAGAGGATAATGAGGAAAATTTGGCTCTGACGTAATGCACTCCTGCATCACAGAAAAAGCTAAGCTTCTTTGCACATGGGGAGGTGAAGGAGTGCAATGTATGATATGGTATTGGAGGTCTCGACATATAAAAGCCATAATCAGGACACTCATCATTCACTCATTTGTGACAATGCAAAAGCTTTCTGGCCAGTGACCACATGCAAAGATTATCACCCTTTGACGCTGGGTGTGTAAAGCCTAAGGCAAAATGAAAATGAGAGGGAGAATGCAGTTAATGTTTGTTTCAAAACCATGAAGTTCTAACCTTTTTGACCTAAGGTCCTCTAAGAAAATATTTTTGAATGCCTCGCCCTTAGAAATCAGTAGTGTCAAAAGATTAAAATAATTATGATACATTTCATAAGATAAGTTTCAAAAATGGAATGTCTATCCTTAAAAACTACAGGAGCTCATTTCCGCTCACTAAAAGATGGTAATTGCGAATTGTGAGATATGAACCTGCAATTGCGAGAAAAAATGTCTGGATTGCGAGATAAAATGCCACAATTATTTTTTCTATTTTTATTCCATGGCAGAAAAAACACAGTATCGCGAAATGTAAACTCAGAATTCAGAGAGATAAAAGTCAGAATTGCTAGAGAAACTTTTTTTTTTACCTTTTATTATTATTTCCCCCCATGGTGGAAGCAGATTTCCATAAGAACAACTATGGTTGAAGGGATAAAAAAATATTTAGGAAATGTTTGCATATTTTTACCTGAAAAATAGAGAATTGTCAATTTACATTTTGTAAAACTACACCTTGATTTTAATGAAGTTTAAGCACTTGAAGTTAAAATAATTGAATATAGGTTATGTTAAAAATAACGTAAGGCCCCTATGAAGTGATGTCGCCTAGTGGACCACGCCCCTCTGTTGGAGAACCACTATTCAAGAATGACCGAGCACGAAATGCCTAAAGCAAATGAGATAAATGCAGTGAATAAAAAGTTTCAAAAGCTATGTCTTAACCCAGACTAGTTTTACAAGCCGTTCTCCCCTGACTCCAGGGCCCGCCGCCGGATGGGACGGCGGTTGGCAACAGCTAGACTGTGACTGGGCAGGAGATGGCGGAAGGAAGTGAGGGGACAGGAAGTGGGATGGGATTTGAAGAAGAAGGCGGGAGAGATAGGAGTGTTTGGAATGTAGTGCGATCAAGAAAATGGAAAAAAAAGGAGAAAGTAACATCTAATATAGATGAAACAGATAGTGAACAAAGTATGACAATAGCAAGTAAACAACAAGAAGAAGAATATAAAGTGATCATGAAACTATCTCAGGAGGGGTCGTCATTTGGTGAGTGGAATCCGATTCAATTAACAAAGTCGATAAACAAATTGTTAGGCGAGGTTAAAAATGCAAAAGTATTAAGAAGTGGAGCGTTGCTGATTTTTTGTAGGAATAAAATGCAACAAGAGAAAGCCATAGAACTGAATAGAATAGATGGCAAGAGAATAAAGTGCGTCTTGATTGGAAATAAGGCGTTGATTCAAGGAGTTATCACAGGAATACCGGTAAATGTCACAGAAGATCAAATCAGAGACAATGTAACAGGGGCAAAAGTGCTGGAGGTAAAACGCCTTAGAACAACCAGAAACGGGGAGAAGTGCGATAGCCTGTCTGTTATGATTAAGTTTGATGAAGCAAGACTTCCAAGTAAGTTATACATAGGTTACATGAGCTATGAGGTCAGGCCATACATCCCTCCCCCACTGAGATGTTTTAAGTGCCAAAGATATGGCCATGTAGCAGCAGTGTGTAAGGGTAAACAAAGATGTGGTAGGTGTTCAGGCGAGCATGAGTATGGGGAATGTGGAGAAGGGGTAAAGCTGAAATGCTGTAACTGGAGGGGAGCACAGTTCAGCCTACCGTGGATGTGAAGCTAGCAAGAGGGCAATGGAGGTGCAGCGAGTGAGATCGCTGCAAGGAATAACATATGCAGAAGCTGTAAAGAAAGTGTCTAAGGAAGCCTATAAACCAGAACTCAAAGAAAATAAAAGTAGGTCTTGTGGGAAGTGTGAGAAAATTGAGGCAAAGAAGGATTTGTTAGTTATGGGCAAAAATGAATTTGTGTTGTTTATGGTTGAGGTGATAAACTGCTCGGCACAGACAGACCGGACGACAGAAAAGATCAAAATAATAGTTAAATCAGCGGAAAAGTATTTAGGAATAAAAGGGCTTAGCTGTGAGGTAGTGGAAGAAATGATAGTGGCAGGAAGCACAAGCTCGCAGACATGGGTTGGTGGCTCTTTATGATATTAGCTATATTGCAATGGAACTCCAGGAGCCTTATAGCAAATGGACAGGAATTCAAGAGTTTTGTCTCAGATTTAGCAGATAGACCTCATGTAGTATGTGTGCAAGAAACATGGTTAAAACCACAGTTGGACTTTGTATTGTATGGATATACTTCAATTAGGAGAGATAGAGAAACAGGAAAAGGTGGAGGTGTAGCAACTTTTGTTAAAAGTGGGGTAAGATATAAACTTATTAGTAAAGGGAAAGAACATGAATCTGTTGTAATTGAAGTGTGGTCAGGGGAAAACAGTATAAAAATAACCAATTTTTACAACCCTTGCAATAGATTAAGTACTGACAGGAATATTGGAACACAGCGGATACAGGACGTCATTTATACAGTATACAAAATCAAGTAGTCACAAGCATGAGGAAGGGCAGAAGCCCAAGGGAGGAGATGTTAGTCTCACGTCTTAGAATGGGTCACACTGGTTTAAATACAACATTGCACAGAATAGGAAAACATCCCACTGGATTATGCACTTATTGTAATGTACAAGAGACAGTGAAGCATATACTGTTAGACTGCAAAAAATATGAAGAAGATAGGGCAGAATTAAAGGCACAAATGGATGAACAAAGCATGACACTTGAGCATTTATTAGGGAAAGCATCTGGGAGAATACACAATTTATTAATGTTATTTTTGAAAAACACTGGGTTAAGTGAAAGAATTTAATAGGGTTTTTTTTTCTTTTTTCTTCCCTCTCCACTCCTTTGATGTCAGTCTAATGCCCACACTCCAGCCTAGTAGGTGGCGGTAATGCACCTTTGAGATGAGTTGCCAACCGCCATTAAACCTGAAAGAAGAAGAAGAAGACTCCAGGGCCCGTCCTCACCTCACAGTCCGTCGGTACTTTTCCGCAGGCGGAGCTCTAGCTTTACGTCACGCGCGATTCAGCCCCGTGGCTTTTGTTAAGCGCGTGCTCCAGTGTCGCTGTCAAAGCTCGCTCACCGATCTAACGGTCTCGAGACCCAGAACGACAGGGTTGTGCGGACGCAGAAACGTGCCACATCTGTTGCTTTTGCAATCCACAACCAACAGCTCTGAATTTACCTTAAATATGTCTACTATCGTCTACCGTCAAACAGATCAGGTAAGAATCAAGCTTATCAGCATTGTGTGAAGCTTCACGGCGTCTGTCCTCCTAGGATTCTTTAATACTACGTGTTTCTTTTATTTATGTTTTTAAAGATTATTTGCTTGTACGTTGCTATTTTGTATTACATGTACACTTGTATGTACTCACGCGACTGCCATATGGTGCGTTGTAATCTGCTCTGCATGTCTCTTCATAAACGCATGCGTTGCTCTCGTCACTCGCTTGAGTTTAACGTTTGCATTGCGCAGCAAACCGTGATGTTGTAAATGTTTAATTTAGTTGGATTTATCTATTTTGTACGCTGTACATTTGTTTCGCACATATGAAAATAATGTACATTTAAAATAAGTCTCTAACGAAGCACTGATTATTAATAAATAATTGCTTATTATTAGTAACAAATAATTCACGAAATAAAAAATATACAAAATAAACATGGGGTTTTACAGTTACAGCAATTGTATTGTCATCATTTGGCATTTATAGTATTTTAAGGGCTGAAATATTGCACATTCAGTATTCACTGGTCAGGCAGTTCATATCCCAGACTAGTCTTGTCGTTTTTTCCCGTTTCATAATAAAATGGGCTTCATACACTTTGAAATCTAGCTGCTTTGCCCTGTAAAATTTGATTGTGCTGTTGTCCTGATTATTGTCTGCTTACAAGGCAAATAGTTTTCTATTCTTAAAATCAAATAATTATTTAATTCTTTATTAAATTATTAAATAGAACAGTAAATGCCGACCAAGGTATAAATGTAATAACAGATAAATGAAAACCAGGACAGGACAGTTGTCAAGGTTAAAAAAGAGTGACTAGTGGTTCATAGAAAGCAGTGCTCGTATATTTTGACGCAGAACGTAAATTTTACCTCAGCGTTGATCTTTTGTGAGGAAGATGGAAAAATAACGACCAGGTCCTACTGACCCAGTTTGGGATTTTACTGTAGACTTGGACGAGGGGCTTAGAAACGTATTGGGCTCTGTATGATGCAAGCTTCATTGTGCGGGAAATGTGGATACGAGGCGTGTTAATGGACACTTCTTGTAGCCAATCGTATCATGCATGCTGGCCTATCAGGTTTCGTGAATTTAATGGGGCGTAACCCATAGAAATGTGTCCCTACGTGGTTGATCGTTTGCATCGATGTTTGATTGAATGCACCATATGGTCTCACCTTTCATCTCATATCTAATAATTGTACAATTTAAATTATTTAAACATCTTTCATACAGTTTTATTAAGCAGCAGTTCTCAAAAATGATGGTTTTGTTTTCTTTTTTGCTCGTTTTCTCTCTACATATGTCCTCTCTTCATACATGAAAATACCTGCAAACGTTTCCACAACCTAACATTGTGTGCACTCTCCCACAGTACATCTAATTTACTGTGGTTTTACACATAAAATCTCTAGTCATATTTCACAATCCCATTTGCAAGTCACAGGAAGCAGCAGTTTCACTTCTTGCAAATCCTTTTCCGTTCCATATCTCCACATCTGCCTATGGATGACCTAATTGTCACCGCAGTGCTTCATTTGTAAGGGAAATGAATGCAGCAAATCCTGTGCTCCTTAAACTAAGACCTTTGCTTGTGTATTTTGATACATAGATTCTTAAGAGTTAAGATGCTGTTTTTCTGTATACATCTATTATTTTATATTTCTTTTTAGAGAATTACTTGGCTATTTAAGTGCCTTTCCACTGTTGAATGTTGTGGTTAATGTGAATCACTGGGAGACATTTTCTGTGATGGCCACTGTGAATAAAATCTGTGTTCTGTCTCTTTCCCTTTCAAACATTCTTTCCGAACGTGGTGAACGATTATTCAATTTTCCAGCCTGTTCTCATGTGTGAGCTCAGCCGGTGGGTCGGTTAGCTCAATGTTTAAATTGTGTTCTCCTATTAACCTTTTCCCATAAAGGTTAGCATTTCATTAGAGAGGGGCAGCAGAGATAAAAACCAAGAAGCCAAAATAAAAACAGCAGCTTTTGTTGCCCTTTGCTCTCCGAATGTAATCTATTAATTCACAAAGCACAAAGCAGTTAAAAAACAGAATCTATAAAAAAGTACTGAACTGTAATTATTATGATGGAGTAGTCTGTGTGTCCTTTCCATCTTTGTAATTAGGAGTTTAAATTACATAAGCTCTTCTGCTGCCTGAGGGTTTATGAAAAGAGTAGCAGTGTGTTTTAGTTTAGGTCGAGAGAGAATAAATCACTGATTTTACCAGGTGTTATGTAACCCCTGGAAATGCAGCTCAGATTTTAGTGCACATCTGAATATGATTTTATTATATCAATTTTCTGCATGCTTTTTCCACAGCCTCTCATGATCTTGCACAACCATTTGACCATAATATTATTTCTTTAGTTGCACATCCACTTCCCTTCCTGCACATTTTATGCAGATTCACTGTTGTGCAAGCCATTCATGAGCTCAAAGGTACATTAGGTGATTTGTCCATAACTCCATAAAAGACACATGTTATTATTTTATACATCCAGGGCCATTATTTAAAATCATTATTATTTGTAAAGCATGGCATTAACAATGCCAAGGTCTTGATACCTGGTAAAATTTGCCATGAATAGCTTTGCATAGAAACATCAGGCAAATATATAAATGTTAGCAAGCCTGTGCATTTCTGATGCTGACTAATGTAGTTCACCTTTTTCTCAGAGCTGGAGGAGATCCCAGAGAGAAAGCGTGACTTGCAAGAAAGGGGTCTTATGATGGAGACCATTATAATTGCAAATGCTGCTTGTTGTCATGGGGTAGACTAAAGGCTTGTTCACACCCTGACGAATATCGCGCGCGATTATCGCCGACGTTTAACATGATTCATCTGCTGTAGTGGAGTGTTACGGGGTAACTAGGCAACCAGTAGTGGGAACGCCCACTAGCGACCTCAATTGCCAGCCACAAGCGACAAGCAGCGAAAAAGTCGCTGGCGGTGTGAACAGGGTTTCATTGGTGTCTGAACACAAAGGGCTTTATGACAAACGTGACAGCCACTACAAAAATCTCGATAAGAGGGAGATGTTATGGAGAGGAATTGCAGATCAAATAGGATTCGATGTGTACCGGGGTATTTCTGTTTTTCATTAAGCGCCATCTAATGTCAGGGAGTGAATTTGCACGTTCACTCGGCTCATCGCCTGCGAAAATCGCTTGGTATGAACACAAAAGACGCGTCGAAAAACGTTGGCGATAAGCGCTCGCGATAATCGTCCCTGTGTGTACGAGGCTTACGAGCAGCTTGAACTATATACAAATGCATGCAAGGAACTCATTGTCCTCTTATTGTCCTCATAGCCTCAGTTTTATTTTTTTGTATGGCCTTAAGCGATGCATTAAGTCGTTGCTCAATCTGGGTTATCTGTTGAGTCCTTCTGCAGACAGAGTCAATAGAACAACTGTTGCTGTGTGTTTCAGCCCATTCTCCTCTTTCTCTCTCGCCTCGCTGTCTGTCCCACGCTTACCGACTGAGCATGCTGTTTGCTGCATGCCAGAGGGGGCCAAAAAGATTATATGCACAAAACAGTCTTTCAGAGTGTTTTCTGCCACCACACATTTCAGTATCTGCCCATCTTTTTGTCTTTTCACCCTTGACTCTGTCAGTAATTGTGTGAGGATGCCGTGGTTGCCGCTACACAATGAACAGATTTGTGAGTCCATCTGAAGCTGCAAAGTCAACATAGGCTTTATCTGCTGTCTGACCCGTAAATGCCTTGGTTTAAAGTGTCAGTCCCTGATTCCACTCCAAGTGGACCAACGGCTCTCAGATTAATGTCACTAGTTTGAAACGGGACGGTTCAGACTTACCAATGAGTGGAAAGTTTCACGTTTTAAAGAGTCAGTGACATGATGCTGTTTTTGTCCTAAAATACTGTCAATGTCATTGCATAAAATATCAGATAAGGTGACCTTTTAATGACAAGACAGATAATTCAGGTTTTAAAATGAGGTGTGACTCCAAAAAACGTAATTTTTTGAAAAAAAAAACAAAAAAACTTGCATGTATTAAATTGAAACCTTTCTTCAAAATAAGTTTGATTTATTTATTTTTTTTTACTTTTATTTAATTTTTTAAGGGTGCTTTCACACCTGTAGATCGATTTGCTTTGTTCCGAAACAGGGATTAAAATTATTACAATGCGGCAAAGTTTCTAAACTGACCAAATTTGTTAATACAAGTCACGCGCGAGTAAACTGTTCTCTTATTGGTCAAAGTTCCACGGTTTATTTTCCAGAATTCCACTTAGCTGTCATGGCTGTCATCCGTCAGGATGGAATGACAACAGCTTTGTGGGCTTATTGTTTTTTCAGCTTTTTCAATTTTGTAGCTGTCATTATATTAATTTATAATTTTGAACAGATGTCCAGGATTCATCGGGAAAACATTTTTAAAATGCATCTACTAAGAAGAAGAGCAATAAGACCGCATTATAAAATGAAAAAGTGCACTTTGATTTTGAATGGCGAAGATGTGTTCACCCACAGACACTCACAGGTTCATTTTGAGGTATTAGCAAAACAACAAAGCTAATGCTTTTCACAGAACTTACGTAATTACCCATCATACATTGTGATATAGCCTGGTTCGTTGGATCGGACAACTTAACTGCTCCCGAGTTAGTTTTCAATCAAGCCAAGACCACCTCGTTCAGGCGATCTTGGATCGATTGTTTTGGTGCGGATCCAGGTGCAATTGCCTTTTTCACATATGCCCAAACGAACCGAGCTAAGGGGGGAAACGCGCCAGGTTCCGAAACAACGGGCCAGGTGTGAAAGCACCCCAAGATATTTTCTTTGACTTTTTTTTTAAGGAGTAAAGAGTTTGGATTAACTTTATATGTGAGATTAAGTGGAATAAACTCCATTGTAGACAGTTAAAACAGGAAGGGCATAAGAGAGAGCTCACATAAAAAGCATAATTCAGTGCTTCCGTGGTCTTTTACTCATCCTAGTGCTTGAAAGTGTTTCTCCAGTGCCACTTATCTTCAAGAGGAAGCATCCCTATGATGAGGTAAATTAAAGCCTAGCATTTTCCGATTGCTGTTTTCAATAATCAACCCCTGAGGAGGATAGAGCAAGAGAGGATGAGCAGATTATCCAAAGGCCTCCACTGCCTGCTTGGAGCATTTGCGTCGACTGAGGCTGGAATGGATAAAAGGATGTGAGTGGAAAAATACTAGCAGGTTTTCATGTAAAACATGAGGATTCCGCACACTGGAGCTCATTTGTTTTTCGCTTCTGCATTTTTCCATCCCCACACAGCTGTAGCCACATCATTGTGGGAATGTGATAAATCCATCAAAATTCCTAAGTACATTTTTTTTGGTTGTGTGACCATCCTCCACCCCTAAAATGTGACCTTCTGCTAGCTAAAAGGGTTTTGAATGACCTGTGGAGCATTCTGGAAGCATGTGGGTGTGGTAGAGCCATGTGGTTAACGGGGAAGAAGATGGGGAGAATCTGTGCGGGTGTTGTAGTAACAGTCTGACCAAGAGAAGGGTTAACGGAGGGTCGGAAAAGCATGTCCTGAGAGGCAGCTTCTTGAATTAAGTCTGTATGAGACCGATTCTATCCGGATTAATTTCAGTTGTCTGTGCAGCAGGAGTGAAGGCTGATCCCGAAAAAGGCACGTGTTTAACTCCATGAAAGCGATCAGTAGCGTAAAGCTGGGTCAGTCTGTGATCGGCAGCGCTTCTGCCCTTGGGCAACATGTGAACCTTTCATTTCTGTTAGTTCATTCCAGATCAGTATTAGATGTTGTGGCTATTGACGTGCTAGTAATTGCCATTGATGTGATCAGTGTTTCTGAGATCAGTCATCACAACCCCTTGTTTGTTATTTGTTTTGCAGGTTATAATGCACAATCAACACAGAAAAGGTTTGAGTCTATAGCCAACGGGACAAGCGAGGACTTGATTGCAGTCACTCTAAGCCTGAGAGTTTGAGTCACCTCTGACCCCCTGCTGTGCCCACTGGTTGCCTGGCATTGCCTTTTCCATCCACTTCGTAGTGAAGGAAGACCTAGGCACTCCCATTCCTGGTTCTACTTCACTTGTGCCTTTTTACGGCTTTCCAAAGTAAACTATCTCTCCCAGACATACGTCATTCGGTATTAGGTAAGCGCATGACTTATACATGAGGCTGACTGTTATGTGTGCACAAAAGGACGGCTTTAAAGTGATTATAGACTCTGACAGCTTTTTAGCCAGCAACTAAAATGAGTGATACATTGTATTTCATGTGCAGATGTGTGTGTGGGTGATATGTTTATGTAAGATATGCAGTGTGGGATAGATATTTTGAGGTAAAATCCTAAAATTGACTTAAGCATGTTATTGTTTCACTTTTGCAAAGGCTTAATTTCCAAAATGATTCCCAACGGATATTTGATTTTTGAGGACGAAAGTTTCCTGGATTCCACCGTGGCCAAGATGAACGCCCTTAGAAAGAACGGCCAGTTTTGTGATGTGAGACTACAGGTAACACACCCTTTTTTAACCTTATTATTCTCCGTGTCATTATGAGACGGCTGAAACATGACTCAGGGAAGAGTGTGTTTCATTATATGTGGGTCCTGGATCTTTGAATGGCCTTTAGCCGTGTGACGTTCATTAACAGACAAAGCCAAACCCTCTGTGTTCAGAATATTTCAAAGACTTGAATGGGAGGTTTAACATTTTCTGAAGAGATTTAATGGTTAATTCTCAAGATTATTTTCTTTCGATTCAAAAAATACTTTGATGACATTTAAATGACCATGCACCATATCTGAAAATCCAGATTTATTGTAGGTAATACCTGTTAGTAAATGAAATCGAAATGGTGCCTATTTCTTTGTTACAATGTCATAATAGGCTTAACCTTTGTCATTTTACCTCTGCAGGTGTGTGGCCATGAATTGATGGCTCATCGGGCAGTACTGGCTTGTTGCAGTCCATATCTGTTTGAAATCTTTAACAGCGACCTGGAACCTCATGGTGTCTCTCATGTGAAATTTGAGGATCTGGACCCTGAGGCTGTGGAGATCCTTCTCAACTATGCTTACACTGCCCAGTAAGAGAGACACAACATGCAATCAACCAGTTAGAGCCATTATACGGCACTTTTTCTACCATATTAATGGCTTTCCAATGTTTTCTGACATCTGTTGTTACTCTCTGCAGGTTGAAGGCAGATAAAGAGCTGGTTAAGGAGGTTTACTCTGCAGCCAAACGGCTCAAAATGGACAGAGTGAAGCGGGTAGGTTAATCAAGCATATGTTTTTGTGACCGTTTTACTTGAGATGAAGCTCTAACCAAGTCTTTTGTACTTGCTCTCAGATCTGTGGCGACTATCTTCTCTCCAAAATGGATTCCCAGAGTGCCATCTCCTATCGCAATTTTGCCAGCTGCATGGGAGATGGGCGTCTGCTGGGCAAGATCGACAGCTATATCCAGGAGCATCTTCTGGACGTGTCTGAGCAAGAGGATTTCCTCAAGCTGCCACGCCTTAAGGTGAGCTGACCTTTTAGGTCATGTACTATGCTTTATTGCGCTCTTGTGCTAAAGATATGTTCTCTTTTGGTCTGGTTTATAGTTGGAGGTGATGCTGGAGGATAACTTGACCTTGCCTAGTAATGGCAAGCTTTACTCCAAGGTGATTGGCTGGGTTCAACGCAGCCTGTGGGAAAATGGCGAACCCCTGGAGCGACTGATGGAGGAGGTGAGCACTGCGCTCCACTGTGAGCTCCTCTCTCCCTTCCCTCCCTTCTTCCCCCTCGTAATTCATCCCATTCACAGATTTAACAGGTCACACCAGCCATCTTAATGGTAGAGGTTGGTTGGGTTTGTTCTCTCTGCCTTCCATATATATATTTTTTTGTTTCCTCTTCCCCTTCACACTCAAATCACCCCGGGCCTTTAAGAATATACATTTAGGTACAGAACGGGGCTGTTACACCCTCCGCAAAGGCGAGTGGGTAGTCCAGGTGAGCCAAACTAAAAGCCTCCTGAATGCTCAGTGCTGTGCAGTAACTGCAGCTACTCTGTCTGCTCACAGAGAGTGACATGACATGTTGCCGTCCCAATGACATCTCTCTCTTCTCTAAGCAGGTGTGTGAGTGTTTGAGTGAGTGTGCTTGCTCTGGGAACCAGCACTAACAGTTCTTCCTCCCCACTGATTTATCTCTCCTTAGGTTTATTAGAGCAAACATCAGCAGGATTCTCACAAGACTGAAGAAGCCAAGACTGGGGCCCTCCAGGGTAATGAGTCAGTGAATGAAAGAAAATAACAAAAGAACGAGAGGGAGCTGTGGCGAAATGAGCGCTAGGCTCCTGCCTCTTAAACAAATGCACTCACCAACAGTACACAGTTCATTTAAAATGACACTTCAGATGTCTGAGTACCACCACGTTGAACACTTCAAAACATTCACATATTAAGTCCACCTACTGTAATTCACATATGCATGCGAAGTAGATCAAAGCATGTCACACAGTTGTTTATGCACACACTTGCAGTACGAAATATTCAAATGATTGGCACACAAATATGGGTGCTTTATGCCACTAAGGCATTTAACATTACATACACAGTATGCACCTGAATACTGATTAAGTACGAAATGAAAGAAAAGGAACAGAGCCATCGACTTCATAAAAGGCTTAATGATGGCACCTACAGTAAGTTTCATCCTAAATAAAGGAAGTGGGAACTGAGTGCAGCTTAGAGGGATGTTCGGAATTGCTCTCAGTTCCTAGTTCCTTTTAATCTGCTTTTGGACACATTCCCAGCAGAGATGGGCACAGGAAGTGACAGCAGCAGTCAGTCATGGAAACATAAAGCATTACTTTTTTCCTCATTTAAAATCAAATATCAGTAAACTATAAAACACTACTATAGCTATAGACAAATGGCCTCTTTTTATTTCAGCAGTGCCTACTGGTCCTGTTCACTTGGCATCAACACTGTACACAGTTGGTCAAGGGCAGCTTACAATTTTTACTTCAGATACTTTCTCATTGTGCAAGACACTTAAAACATTGATGCAACCATGCTTTTACCATTTTATGTCCTTAATATATCTGCAAGTACCCATAGACAAATACACAGAAATTATGTAATGTTGATGCACATTTTTTGTTTAGTTTCTACAATCATTGTTCTATTTTGTTTTCAGTTATTTGAACTGAATTTTGTATTGTATTTGGTTTTGAAAAAAACCTTTAAGCTTGAAGACAATCCAAGATTTTTTTTTCTAAATGAAGCACTCATTTTTGAGCTGTGTAAGTTGAAAACAGCTAACCAGTGTTGTACTGGAGTTTATGTGATGACGTCTGACTTGACTAACCCCCTCAGCTGAGAGGATGGATGACAGCCGAACATGCACTGATGGAGCTTGTTTGTCTATTTCCTTCTGCAACCTTGTTGACAAATGAAGGTTCCCAAGATGCTTTGTGGCGAACAGTATTGTGATCCACATTCTGCTGTTTTCAGTGCAGTGAAAAGTCCAGAAGATCTTTGGAAATGCTCCTGAATCCACAACAACACTGTTCTTATTCTTTAAGAAGCTTTTTTACCAGCATCTTGCAGTGAACGAGTGCTATGGCCCTTCCCTTCTTAACTTTCCTTCTTCCCCTGACGCACATAGTTGGGTGCTCTGTTGTCATGGAGACAGCCACATGGGTTCTGTTGTTGCTGTGTGTTTTGCAGGTGCAAACGCTGTACTATTCGGCCGATCACAAGCTGCTCGATGGGAGCCTGCTTGACGGGCAGGCTGAGGTGTTCGGCACTGAGGATGACCACATCCAGTTTGTGCAGGTACACAACCAGCGCTGAGCTCTTCTCAGGCTGGACCACAGCAGGCCCGTAGCGAACGCAAGATTTAATGCTAGGATAGAGCAGCTGCTTTGTTGTGCTGGGCTGTTGAGTCTTGAGCGTTTTGAGCTAGAGCGATCACGATGTGTGCGTGATGAGTGTGTGGATTGGGTTTTAATGCTGCTTATAGTGTGGCTTTACATTGAGATTAGATTAAAGTAGATATAAGGTTAAAAGAATAGTCCAAGGTTCAGTACAAGCTCATTCGAAAGCATCTGTGTTGTGCTGTGGTTTATCACAAAAATTAATTTCCATATATCCCTTTAAAAAAAAGCAAAAATCTGGATTACAGTAAGGCACTTACAATAGAAGTAATTAATCTGTTATCTGTAAATGTTAAAATATTCCCTGTTCCAATAGTATAGCCACAAAATGTAAACAATATGCATGTTAACTTGATTCTAGTTTGAAAAAAACTGCTTGCTAATCTTTTCTGTGTAATTTTATATCCAACTCTGGTGCTATGACAACATAATTACTGTAAAAGATTTAAGCCACTTTAAAGCTCATATAATACACACGCTTTAAAAGAAGAGTTCATGTGAGACTTTTATAAAGTTATAAGCTTCATATCCTTTAAAAAATGGCCCATTAATGTCCATTGTACCTACCTTACTAAAACCTAAATTTTTGCTTTTTAAAGGGATCATGAACTGAAAAACCAAAATTCCCTTGATATTTTGACATATCAAAATATTATACTATATAAAACATCTTGTAAGTTTCAGAACTCAAAATGTTCCCGTTATTCTAAAAACAGCTTATATTGAAGCCAGTCTGCTAAAACGACAGCTTGTGAAATGTACAACTCTTATTACGTAATAGTGTAACTAAACACCGCCTCCACGTAAGAAGATCAATGCCTGCTTCTACATTGCTGGCTGTTTAGCCCCGCCCACCGATTTACACATGTAGTGTAAATAAATAGAGGCGAATGCAGGTCTATGCAGAAACTAAAAAATAAAGATCGCTCCGAATAAGGCGCTGTGCAGTGCCAAGCTGTGGAAAAACAGTCTTTGCATTGCTTTCCTTCTGATCCCAACGTTAGGAAAGAGTGGATGAACTTCCAGAATGTGTCCGTAAGAACTTGGTCCTTTGTTCCCTTCATTTTACCGTGGATTCATTTACAAACAAGGAACAATTCGATGCTGGATTTTCAGAAATATTGAAATTAAAAGACGATGCTGTGCCAGCTATATTGATACAAGTGTGAGTAACTGTTTTTATTACGTGATCACTATTGCTTTGTCTGTTATTACAGATCGTTTGATATGTACTGAGTATTTATGTGTTTTTGACCTAAATCACAACAGCGTCCATCTATGATGGATGTAGGCTGTCAAACATACACAACTGTAAGCCAATCATACCAGTGGGCATTTACTTCATCCGCCACACCTATTCAAAGTGAGCGTTCTGATGAGGGGGGTTAAAAGCAGGACAGAAAATAGCCTATTACTTCTAAATTATGTTTTTTGATGTACAAATTGATAACATTGTAAGGGGACCTCGGAGAACAGTACAAAATATTTAAAAAGGCAGTTCATGACCCCTTTAAAAGAAAAAGAAGCATGAGTCAAAATTATTTTTGTGGTATTCAGCATTATGCCACAATTGCCGTCTATTGAGCTTAACTTGCATTGAACCCAGAATATTCCTATAACCTGATGCAGGCCAAGCATCTTGTAAGTTGTTAAGTCAGGCTTACACCTAGACGGGGTCTGGGACTGTGTGAGGTTGTGTGTATGTGGACCATGGGCTCGGAGTCTGTAGCTGCGCTGTGCCTTTGCAGAAGAAGCCCCCACGTGAGAATGTACACCGACAGCTGAGCACCAGCTCCTCTGGCAGCGGGGGGGGTTCTTCTTTACAGGAGTCACCCATGAGGCTGACTTATTTTTTTTTTTACAGTGTTTGGGAGGAGGTGGGTGGGGGTGGTCTGTTTGGGGTTGCCGAAAGCAACATTAAGCCTTTGCATATTGCATACTTTATTTTTGTTGTTGTATATATTGTTGTTTCTTTTTTTTCCATTTTAAGAAGAATGCCAACATTTATTGCACACTGAGTGTACCTTTTTGAGTAGTTTTGAAATTCTCCTTTCTTTTTTGGCAATTTGAAGACAGGATTGATTGGTTGAACCCATTAAGGAAGTGGTTCAGGTTGAATGTTTGCTTTATAGTTTTTTTTTGTGTTTTTTTGTTTTGTTAGCTCACTTCATTTAAAGCTCCATGGTTATACAAAGCCTTATTTTACAAAACATTCAAACACATGACTTTCCTTTTTGTATCATTAGCCATGACGTAGGATTACTGTACCAATCTTTAAAGATGGCCTTTTTTATATTTTTGATACACTGCTAAGTAACCAATAGATAGATGGATGAGCTAGTCGACACACAACACCCATGAGGATATAAACTTTAATCAGTGCCAGTTTAGTAACCCTCACATGCGTATAATCGACCACGCTTTAGTGCCTCTGCTCATTAGATATTTTGTTACCATTTCTTTTGTTTGACTGATTCAAGCAAGTGCGGTGATGCTCATTTCCTTCTCAATACCAACATTTTTAATATTTCCTGTGTTTAGCGTTTGGAAGCAACAAAAATATTTTTGGCTCCATGGTTTTGTTTTTCTCAATAAACTTGATCAGGGGAGAAAATCCTGTACCACATTTGTTATGAACTGATATTTCCTTACTAATAAACCATTTCAACCTGTAAAAGTATTGCTGTTTGTGTCTCTAGAAATGATGAATTGCGTATTGTTTTGCACATTTTATCTCTAGATTTGAATTCTGGTGTGATTATATTAAATGTCATTATTCTGGTGGATATATAACACCACTGTGTAGTTCATCAGTGAGTTTAGGATCAGATAAAAGGAAATAAGGCAAAAGAAATTGTTAATTGACATTTCTTTCATTCTGTGCCATTAGCCATGATGTTGGATTACTGTATTTTATGGTCCATAGTTTAGTTTATTATCAGTCCATTTATTACGCAGGTTGATTCTTGGATTCTTATCCAACAATACTTCATCCTCAGTCCATTCACAAAAACGAACCTGTCTTAATCCCAGACAAATCGGGACAGTCGTGCTGGCAGGAAGTAGGCCAAAAGCCACACAAGCACAAGGTCTTCGGGAGGGATTATAGGTCTTTTCTGGCACTGAATATCCATTGGACTTAGGCCATGCTCATGAAGTTGCTGCAATGACTTTCTGGTACTTTCCTGTTATTTCTACTGAGATGAGGATTGATAAAGACGAGGAACTCGTAGCATATGTTAAATATATACCAAAAGAACTATGTGAGTTTTTGCATTCCACAGCTGCTTTTCCATTGCTGTTTTCTTTCTTTTTTTTATATAAACATGCGCTAGCTGGACCTTTAAAGTTTGACCGTTGCCCTCCTTACATTTGCTGCTTCTCGCGCATGATGCAGGCCGTGTTTTAAAAACGTGGCATTAAAGTTACAATAATAATTTTGACTATTAAAAACATGTCTCTAGATCTTGCAGAGTGTTTTTATTCCACTTTTAAACGAAAAACACATTGTGCTTTGCTTGGCCATTTGTTGTGACAAACAGGAAAGTGTTAGACGAATATAAAAAGCTTAGTATACCACGGCAGCGGTCGCAACAGCCCTTGTTTGAAGCCCTCCTCGTGTGGAGACCGAAGAGTGTAAAGACCATCGACTCTACCGTTCGACTCCACCGAGCAGGGACACCGGCAAGGGACATACGTATCGCTTTTGAATCATTATCTTTCCTACTACTTGTTTCCATTCTGTTTTCAGTTTTTATAACTAATTCTTACTATGTGTTTCCAGATCCCTACTATCACTACCACTCGCAAACCACACATTACACACTGTAGGCAGCGCAATCCTATCAACCTGCGTACTTTGCCTATGTCTACTAATACACTACTTTCTTTTTCTATTGGTCTATGGAATTGCCAGTCTGCTGTAAACAAAGCATATTTTATTACTTCTATTACAAGTCATTCAAGATTAAACCTCATGGCCCTGACAGAGACCTGGATCAAACCAGAGGACAATGCTACACCTGCAGCACTCTCCAATAATTTATCTTTTTCCCACTCCCCCCATCTGACTCGAAGAGGTGGAGGTACTGGTCTGCTTATCTCTAATGATTGGAAATTTAATCCTTTACCATCTCTGAGTATCAACAGCTCCTTTGAATATCATGTGATCGTTCCTCCACTGAACCCCTCGGATCACTTCCTCCTTACTCTTAACCTCAACATGGTTCCTGACACAACACATACCCCTCCATATGTCACTTTTCGACGTAACATCCGCTCACTCTGACCCTCCCAGCTATCTGCTATGGTTTCATCTTCGCTTCCTTCCCCTGAACAGTTACCATCTCTTGATGTTAACCGTGCTACTGATACTTTCTGCTCCACTCTTACGTCTTGTTTAGACACTGTCTGCCCCTTGTCTTCCAGGCCAGCTCGTACCACCTCTTCTGCCCCTTGGCTATCTGATGTTCTCCGTGAGTATCGTTCTAAGCTCAGAACTGCAGAAAGAGTATGGCGTAAATCACAAAATCCTACTGACCTTAATGTATATCGATCACTCCTCTCTTCATTCTCTGCTAATGCCTCCACTGCTAAAAGGACATACTATCACAACAAAATTAAC